AAGGTAACTGTGATGATTCACCTCGGTTGAGCCGTTTTCCTGCATCAGTTTCATAGTATTTAATGTTGCAGCCTACCATTCAATTCGTTAATCATCACCTGACTTTCAGCGATGGCCATTGTAATCACCCACCCTATTTAGTACATGAGAAACGAATCTGTTTCGACGTTCAGCAAATTTGTCTGCCGTTTTCGCGAGGAACACAGTGCTTCGTTTTTCTTCGTGTTTTCTATCAAAAACTCAGTACGACAGTCTGTAAGCTGACGGTCGTATTCAATCGAGTAGGCCAAGCACGAATAGCGGCTTTGATCTGTTGCGTGAAACATCTTTCGAAAACGTTGCTGGTGAAATAACTGCAGTGGGTGATCGGAAAACTTAAATGCGAAGCGATATCTGGACCTTAATGAGGACGAGAATGATGACGAGACAAACTGGCTGCTGAAATTGCTAAGAATTGAATATTTGCCAGTACTTTTATTCGTGATGAGGTGGATGCCATTGTATATTAATTAACTCGACATATTGACAATACATCAGCCGCTGTAAAGAACTGGATTTTTCAGTCGCTAGAGCGTCCGACTCAGAATTGAGAGGTCCCCGGATTTTCGACCTCAACGATAAGTCAGAGCATAATCGTTAATTTGGCGTAGGTGCAGATGGAAGTTATTATTTGATTTATGCTCTCCTGCATCGTACACCCGTCAGGAACTTGGTGGAAACTCATATTTTAACGATATCGTACTTACGAAATAACGCAGAACTGTTTACTTTATAAGTTATTCTCGGTAAGCCAGCCTAGTGTCTTTCTGGTTATAGCAACAGAAGAAGATCAGAATCACATGGTATTGGCTAAACCATAATTTCAGCCTTGATTCATGAATTCTGACTTCAGGGGATTGTTTATTTAAATTTAGAGCATTCATTTTGGCCTTATCTTAAGCTGGTTTATAAATTTTATAATGAAACATGGACTAATTGAAATGAAATACATGAAATTTTGGCTGCTATACTGTGCTTTTGAGGGGTGCCAGTTAGCATATTTTTACCACTTGTCTCTATGACCGGCGACATAATTTCCTGCTTCACCTCATACATTCCTAAATGCGTTTCTATAATTTTTGTAGTGTCAGGAGTGATGGCTACTCCCAGGCTTCAGACGTTAACTTTCAGATCACCAGGCTGGTGCGTAGATAGGATCCTATTCACCAGACAATTTAGGATTAAAGTACACATCGGTTCAACTTTATGATATGGATTTTGGGAATCAGTGGCTCTGAAGAGGCGCATACGAGAAGGTTCGCACATTGCAAAATTTGATATTTCAACTTTCTTCTTTTCATTGATACGCAACTTTTTAACATGGTCTCATTTCCACTGTTCTGCTTTAATAAATCTCACTATCATCCTCTCATGCTCTGACTTTAAAATTCTTTTTTCTTCGACGTTTACGCAAAGTATTAAAGAAATATGATTAATTTTCTTTCTACAAGTTGATCATTTTTTGCCATTCCTCGTTGCGGAAAAGAAAGGAGTCCTCCTGTTCGAATTGCCTGCCTCGTCCCTCAAAGAACGTCAAATCTCTTTGGCAGTGCAGTTTATTTGCCGGGTGGAGCTCCGACCTCGTTTCTAAGCGCTGCGTTCGGCAAATTGATCGCATTTTCAACGCCGGAACATTCTTGTGCTGCACGCTGCTAGAACCGTGCACTTCAGAATTGCTTTGCTAGATGAGCAAGGTAGTCTGATGATATGTGAGCAAACTGCGCTATTTCATGTGTTGTTTGCCTCGTTCCTTTGTCACTCTAAGATTTTAAGCTTTCTTCATCCGACGAGCCACAAAAGGAAATGAAGTTAAACTTGAAGAGGTAAAGAGATAGGTGCAGCGATTATAACGTGAATTTAGCTACTCCATGTAGTCAAGGGTTTTTGCTGCTGTACCCGAAACGCTTCTCTCTGTTA